GAAATAAATGGATTAGTCGTTGTGATAAATGAATGAAATTTAGCTGTGTATACCAAATTTCATTCATTTATCACAACGCGATTGAGAGATATTGCAAAAAAATGATTTCCATTCCTCCCTCTTCAATGGGTCCCTGTGCCCTTAGGAAGCATTTCCGGACCCATGTTCATATGAACTTTTTTACTTAGTTTTGTTCATAGAATCGGCCTGTTCAGGGTTGGCGGCTAATTATGAGACACCCTGTATAACAGTACAAAGTTGGCCTTTCTAAAATTATAACTTTTAATAGCATTACCCAAACTTCTATTATCAATATTCTGTCGGAGTGATAATGTAATGAAGGAGTGAGGTTCTTGATAGAGCTAATTGAGCTGATCGCCTTCTGGTTGAAGTTTCGGGATCTTCTCTAACACTTTCTTCTACCCGCTCTATATTTGCATAATATTGTCGATATCCTCTCTGTGCAGCCACACTTGAATATCTCTCTTTCATTTTTTTGTGCCTCTTGGTAGCCCCACCTTAGAAAATCCCATCCCCTTCCTTCTGGTAACGCGTTTAGCTTCGTGCGTTGATCGCTGCCTACGCAGTTCACTTAGATTAAAAGGAGACCCCGCTTTGATGATGGGGTTTACGGTGCGGTTTAATAAGCAGATTTCGCCAGGCTTTTTTAGTCGGCTGCCTCGGCTTTTAGCTACGCGTGCCGCGCGGATACATCCCGCGTTCCAGGGGAGCGCGTGCTCTTAAATAAACAACTAACTAAACACCAAAAGTTACACGGAAGTTCGCTCGTACTTTTAGTATGTCGGTAGTTATTAAATTGTAAGTTTGGGTTTATGGGATTAAGAGGAACAAATTTCAGAATCAGTATAACGCTACACAGCTGTGGACGATGAAATGTTTCCAATTTAAAGTAAATAAATGTGGAAATTTTAGCTGTGTAAGTCGGGTAGGAAATTTTACCATACTTTTTACTATAATGCATACAAAAAGGTGGTCTTTTCCTTTAATTATATCTCGAAAACGATTAGTGTTGGTGTCGAAATGTCTTCAGATTTGTATTCTGCGGGTCTGAAAATATGGGGGTAGAAATATGGAATCCAGTGTACGGACCAGCCCCTTAACCCTCAAAGGTTGGGGTGGGTCAACTTAAATGTCACAGTAGTGCAAATTGGGATTTTGCCAACTTTGAACCTTTATGTCTTCTTTATTTGTTAACGAAAATAGCGTATTTATATCAGAAGTGGGGTAAAATGATGTAATTAGGTTTGAAAAAAAAAAATTGTTAATAAATTAAATTAGAAAAAGCATTTTTCGAGAAATGACTTTTTTTTTAATTCGTAATATTTAATATGTAATGACTACAGAAAAAGTAAAAGGATTTTGAACTTCAAAGGCTACATTTTTAATAAAAAATACCCCATATTGATAAAATGATATTATCGATTTTTCCCGGTATAGGCATTTCTTGAAGTTGTGATTTTTGGCTTCTTTTCTGTAAACTGATGTTTATTTTGCATTCTTTTGTATGAAAATATTAATTTAAACAATATTATCCATAAATATTGACAAATACATGTTACAATTAAACTATTAATGAAAAAAATAAATAAATAAAAATTTGAAAAATTATTAACAGTAACTAAACAATGGTCTAATCTATTCGACACATAAACTGAGATGAAAAAAATCGTAAATTTGCATTTCAATTGACTATTTCTAGAATACATGATATAAATTCAGCCATACTTTTGCCCACACTAAAGTCACACTAGTGCGAATTCGTACCGATCGGACTTTTCAAAATCTCTAGTTTGGCCGACAATAACCGACTGAGGCTCGACTGTTTGGGCTATAGAAGGGATTATCGTGGTGGGGGAACCATTGGCAGCTGCTACCTGAGCTTCCAGCTGTTCAAAAACATTGGTGATGCCAATTCGCACTAGTGCGACCTTTGAGGGTTAAGTATATGTCCAAGAAAAATTTTTTTTTATAATCTGGGGAGTTTTTTCTCGAAAATGGTGGACGCTGATGCCAAATTGACTTCAGATTCGTATTCAGCGGGTTCGAAAACAACAATAACATGGTCTGATCCAAACATCCACTATTTTTGTGTATCTGTTATTAAAATGTAGCAAATTATGTTTTTACTGTTAAGGTGGTCATATTCCTGGCCGAGAAATAGTGAAATTTTAGGTACTGAAATCTTTAAAAGTAAAACGTGTAGAACGAAAGTAAGCACAAAAATAAAATCCTTGATGTTTTGTTTATTCATTGTTACCATTTAAATTTACTCAAATAAAATAATAACTAAAAAAAGCGCTTGTAAAACATGCGTTTGCTGTTATTCTAACCCCACATTTTAAGAATTATTTTCACGAACTTATAAATAAAAGTAAACAATTTTATATGTAGGACTAAGCAAGTAAATGTTATAAGAATATTTACATGTGGAATTATATATAAAAAAGTTAGTATTTTCGTAGATTTCAGTACCTAAAACCTTGATGGTTTAATCGTTTTTTGCACCTGTTTATTCGTTTTACTGCGGCGTCTTTGAAAATACTCAGGTGGCATGACATAACATTCCTATTATTTGATAAGCTTTAGATTATTCAGTTATTAAATGTTTGAAATTATTTGTCTTTGCGGAAAACACTATTTAAAGAATATGGGGCCCTTAAGATAAATTGTAGATTAGAATTAGATATTTCCTTTAATCTAGAGCTGGAAATTCCCGATTTTTTAAGTTATTATGTAAAAGGTTCAAAATAAAAGCTAATTTGCTACTACTTTTGTGTTACTATTCTTATTTACTGAAAAATAATGTTAAAAAATTCTTTACAATTAGATACTGTTGTCGGGAGGAAAAAATTGCTTAAAATAAATATTTGTCTTGAAAAAGTTTTATCTTTGGTACATAGACCCACCTTGTGTGATACAATAAAAGCTAATAAACAAATGTAATCATATACTAAAGTAATTAAGTTATGATAATAATGATCCAGTAATTATTATTAAATTTATTATATAGTATTATTAAATATGCGTATTAAAATTGTGATAGCAAAATTCAGCGCTATTCAAGTATTTATAAATGCTGGAAGAAAATTAATAAAAGTGTTGGAAAAAGATTAGCAGAATTAGATAATACATAATAATAATGTTGCTAACAAACATGATCACGTATGCAAACGTACAGAAATAAAACAATGACTATTTTAGAAAGGTGGAGTTTAGCTACAATTGCTTTTCTACTTAATCTTAAACATATTACATAGCAATAAATGTATTTGCCTCTAAATTTCATAGTCTGAATCTATCAATTTGTAATAGATTTGGTCCATACACATCGCAATAAATATTATTGGAAATATTCTTGATTCACATAATTGCAATTTTAAATTTTGAATCATCACTTGTCTTTGTATAGTTGCTTTGTTGCTTTAAAATATAATAACATGTTTTTAACAATTAATTTATGCAGATCTGAATCGAATCAAAGTATTAAAGTTCACTAATTACATGCAATTTTATGTTATTTAAAGCAATTTTTAAGGAATTTTTCACTATTCTTACTGGGATCATCCAAAATATAATTCTGTATAAAAAGAAACAGCATTATAAAAATTTGAAATGTATATAGAAAATAGTAAAGGGCTTGAAATAGACCCCTGTGGGATACCATATTGAATAAGTAACGGATCGGCTACTTTGGATTTTAGATGTACCCTTTGAGTTCTAAAATGGGGCTTAAAGTCTCATCAATAAAGCCTCATTTACACCAAACAATAAGCGCTGAAAACATTTTATTGTCCACAGCTGTATCATGTGATATTACAAAGTGCATCGACAAGACGGGATACCATAGCAACATTTTTCAAAAGTTAAATAAGTTTGTTTGAAAAGTATTATTAAGAAAACTAAAAGTTATTCTATTCTCGCTGGCAATTTCCTTGACAAATCTGGTATATTGTAAACATCGTTTTATAAAACACATGGAAACTTGTAACACTTTACGTACTACCGAAGTAGCATACCAGGTGCATTTATTTTTACAATTTTCTGTTTATTTGAACCCAGAAACAGGACTGTGTAAGTCATCAATCAGGATGCAGCCCACGTTTCTCCGACTTTAAGAGTCTGTTTTAGCCAATTTTATTTCGCTCTGACGTGCCAGCGCGATCGTACTTCAAATTTTAAAGGCCCTTTGTAAGGAAATAAACGGCAGTGTCATAAAACTGAATTTTGTAACACATGTCGAGACGGAATAAAATGGATGGAGGCGCCATCTACCAATTATTCTTCTTTTTTCAAGTAAGAGACTATTGCTTTAATAGGATGTTGCTACATGTTCTTAAAACTCTGGTATACAGGGTAATAGTACGTGTTTCTCAATCAAAATATTAATAGGAAAAAAAAAGATTTTTTTAATCAAATAATAATTAGTCGATTTTTTTTATAATTGTTATTCACACCGCCACTGGATAGTGTAAATCGGGCCACCTGGAATTAGCGTGGTAAATTATATCAGTACACTATCAGCGTTGCCAGCTGTTACCTTTTAAAACAATTGGAAAATAAATTAATAATACGAAGTTGATTATTTCAGCGTATTTTTATGTTTTTAATTTTTGTGTGACATTAAAAAGCATGTACACGAATCAAGAAACAGCTGATATGGTTTAAATGTAACTAAAACTAAGACCATAATATGCACCTTATGAGAAATAGATAATAGAATAAATACAACTTCTGTTAAATTGTTTGGAATGTACTTGTATTCCAAATTGTTGTTAAAACGACGAACAAACCGTATTTGCAGAAAAATATCTAAATTTATGTATCTACTTCGAAATGTAGTAGGTAAAATGTCATTAAAAACAGCTTATTATGGTTTTATTCACGCTAATATAACCTATGCTATTCTCGAATGGCGTCGAGCAATTTCTACACAGTCGGAATGTCTTTGCTCATCAGAGAAAAACCATTATAGGCTATTGAATATATGATTTTAAAAGGAACTATGGCGTTCAAGATACTTTATTACATGAATCGTTCAAATGGTCACTTTAGATGAAAAAACCGCGGAGTGCTATTAAATTAAACGGTGGAAATTGGAGATAGGGGTGAAAATTCACCCTTTTCAGTTTTTTAACTGTAGCTTGAAAACGAAGCTAAATTTCGCTATAGTTCATAGGAAAAATTATTTAGACAATTGAATTTCCCATCGAAATAGCTTATTTAAGAAATTTAAAAGGAACATTTTATGCAAACAATCATTAATAAACAATTTGAAAAAAAGAAAAAATTTCTTTTCTGATTTTTTTTACTTTCTTGCCTCTAGTTTTTTTTTGAGTAAAGATAGGTATAGGCATTGATAGAAAAAAAGTAGATAAAATTTCCTTCAAAACAAGAGGTTGTAAAGTATTTTTGGATGAAAATTGACTGATATATGGCCCCTCAAACTTAACCAATTTTTCGATTTTCATTTACCATTACACGTTTTAATTCTCATTTTTTGCAAAAAAGGAAGGAAATAAGACGTTCAAGGATTTTTATCACATGACTTGTTCGAAGGGTCATTAAAAATGAAAAAACCGTGGGGTGCTATTAAATTAGAGGTTTGAGATAGACGATAGGGTGAAAAACTTTTGCAGTTTTTTAAATATAGCACGAAAACGAAGCAAAATTTCGGTATAGTTCATAGGAAAAATTTTGTATAGAATTGAATTTCTCATCGAAATGGCTTATTTAAAAAATGTAAAAGGATATTATACAAAAAATTGTTAATAAACAATTTTAAAGAAAGCAAGAAATAAGATTTTTTTATTTATTTTACCTTTTTAATAAAATAATTTAGTAAAAACTTGAGAATTTAAGAACAATAAAGTTTATTAATAATGTATATACAGTGGATGGAGTTGACAAGAGGAAAAACTCTTTTGTTTTTGACTTTATCGAAAAATGACACTCTTTATAAGAAGTTCTGCCCCTCGAAAAAATAAGACTGTCATACAAAAATCTTACATTAGATATACAGGGTGCTCATAAATTAAAACAACACGAAAATACTAAAGAGAGAAGTACCACTATTTATTATTTTACACAACATTTTTATGAAACAAATCTGTTTATAGCCTCAAATAATGTTCTAATAGAAATTTTAAGTTCAAAATTTCAATTTTTGAGCTGGGAAGTAGCTATACATATAGAGTAAAAGTCATAATTGAAATTTTTATTTTAAAATTTGTATTAGGACATAAAACTTGGACTAATGAAACATTCGTTAAGGCTTTTGGACCAAGAAGGTGAATGTTGCTAGTACTTGGGAAATAAATTTACCGAAATCAGCCATGCTAAACTGAAAGAGAGTATATTAGTCACTAGTGTGACTGTAACGAAGAACGAGATGATTGATTCCACCAAGTTTTGAAGGAAATGGAAAGAAGGTGGTCGCGGTGAGAGGAACATAATTATTATAAAGAATTACTTTTGTATGTTGAAAAGAGAATGCAAGGTTAGAGGAAAAAAGAGAAAGAACCTACTTTCGAAAACAAAAGAGTATATTCATGAGACACCTTCTTTAACACTGTAAAAAAAATCACTCAGTTTCACTCAATTTTACTCAATAATGTATCACTTGTCCAGCACTACACGCCATATACTACGCCATGAGATGGGGACGATGGGAATAGACAAAGACAACGCACGACAACCATAGAATGAGGTGCGGTCCCTCAATAATGAGGGCATTTACTCCGATTTAGATACAATTGTACCAAATAAATGTTTATCTGGAGAATTTATTTAACGGGTACTTATATTTGAGTGAAACTACTCAGTTTTAGTTCAAACATTACCGCAAATAGTAAAATTATCAAAATCCTCAGTATTGAGTAAAATGTACTGTTCACTCACGCCGATTTTATTACAGTGTAAACACTTTCTATGTTAAGATGAATTATTAAGTAAATAAATAAATAAATACATTCGCAATTTTTTGTTAACTAAATCATTTATTTATTGTTTTTTATATAGTCTTTAATAATATAGAGTTATTCTTAAAAAACTTCTTAAAGTTTGACGTTATACTTGCCTTGCTGATTATTATAGAGAAAAGGACGTCGTACGTAGGTAATTCAATTCCAGATATTCCAGGATTTCTAGCACGTACTTACACTTATCAACTTGTTCATGGCGTTTTTTCAGTTCCCCGACTCTCTCCCACGACGAAGTTGAAGGAGACTTGTTCCAATCTAAAATATAAAAACGTTATGCCCGAGACAGACACTCGCAATTTTTTTCACTCGTCTCTTCGGTCCTTATGGCAGGGTAACTGTCAGGAACCGTTACGGTTCTCGAGACGCTTCACCGGAGGTAACATAAATAATCAAGGGAAGTCCCAAGGGACCCCGTCAGGGACACCAGCACATCAAATGGTCCCCTATAATGTTCTCTTCATTTGTAAGAAGGTAAATATTTAAGGTACTGGGACCACACTGAGAAAAAAGGAAAGAGAAAATAATATATAT